GATACATAACATAGAAGTGTATACACACACATACACACGTGTGTGTACACACAGGCAAAGCCAGGTGTTTTACTTCCTCTCAGGTTAACTTCTTGAATCGGGACCAGTAAGGGGAGTTCCATGAGCTCTGATTCAATTCAGTGTGGCTTCTTTTAGTAAAAGCAGGGAGAGAGGACAGAGGAAGGGGACAAATACCCCTTGAATTTTATGTAGGAGAAAGTGAGTAAGAACACCCAGCACAGGTCACAAATGGGACCAATACAGTAAGGGCTTCAGTTGTCTGAGATTTTGATAAAGATTTGTTTGCTGGGCCCTGTCTGACATGAGAAGAGGTTGCAGTGAAATCACCAGGTGAAGTTCAACTTCCACCCGCGGCCTCCCCCAGAGCCGAGGGGGCGCCCCTCCTGCTCATGCAGTGACAGAGGATCGAGAAAACAAGTGTTTTTTGCTACAGCTGAACAGGTCAGTAGCAGCCTCTACATTTTAATTGATAATTTTATTTGTGTTTTTAAGAAAGATGCTGAGTCACAGCCGTCATTCAGATGACTTAATCTGTATGAAAACATTAAGTACCTTTGTGTTTCGGCATTTCAAATAAGCCCCCGTGAGGCGGGGATATGGGACAAGTATCAGGATTAACTTTTCCTGCCTATGATGAAAAATGCTGAGGTATAAACAGTCTGGTAAGAACAGGAGGGACCCCGTCTTAAGTCTAAGATTCCATTTTAATAAGCGGAGAGTTGAGAAGTAAAATTCCTAACATATTATCTGGTGATCAGACAATACCCCAGCCTATCCTAAGGCAGCGCAGGCAGTCTTAACTGATAGGTACCCCCTCTTTAACGGTAACCACTATCCTGGAGAACACAATAAATAAATCCATTGTGTTGTGTTTATTTCGCAAAATTAGCTGGAGGACTGATAATAGAGGAGAGGAGACATGGTGTCTCTCACCAGAGATAAGCATCTGGAGACCACAAGTCAAGCCCACGCCCAACAACCTCTCCCCTGCCCTTTGCCCCATTCTTGAAAGCCTTAAAAGACCAAGTCCCCAAACTTCCAATGCATCTTCTTCTCTCTGAGGCCACCTGTGCTTTCCTTTCTTTAAGCGTGTACTTTCAAACAAAGCTTTCTCACTGCTCAGATTATTGTGGTTTGTCTCTTTGCTATTCCATTTTATTTCCAAGTCTTCATTCACTCTGTCTCTGCTTTACTCCTAATAAGTAGGAAGGGGCTGCTAATGTTAGGCAGGAAAATAGAAATAAGGGGTGGACAGAGAATGAGGTCAGTAGAGCCCCCTAGAAAGGATTCAGTTAAAAGCCAGTAAAGACTCAGAGTTAATTAGTTAAAGCTCAAAAGGTCAGGAGCAACTTGGCCTTGAATATTTGAATATTCCCCAGATAAGGAAAAGTGAGCACAGCCCCTGTCTTTACTGTGTCAATTAGATCCTTGTAAGATTTACTCTAGCCTGCTTAAAGGCCCACCTATAAACAGCATAATAAAGACAGGGAGATCACACCTTAAAGCCAAAATTGCATTTTGAAAAAACCCAGGAAGTTAAGAAGAAAAATTCTTAACATACTCTTTAGCAAACAACAAACAAATAACTTTGCCCACCTTGGAGGAAGGGCAGACAGTCTTGATTGATATGCTCCCAAACCAGGAAGCGGCTATCCTGGGAGGGGACCAGAGCAGTAAATTTCTTGTGTTAAGCTAATTTTGCAGAATTACCTAGCGGACTGATAAGAAACTTAATGTCTCATCAAAGATACTTGAGACCACTTAACAAGTCCACACCCCTAGCCCTTTGTCACCTTCCTGAAAATCCTTAAAAGGGTGTAAGTCTGGGGAGAGGAAATCCTAGGGCAAAATACCTCTAAAAACCAAAATCAGTCAAAGTAAGAAATAAAGTTTAAAATCCATTGCTTACAAACTGCAGTCCTGGGCCTTCTCTCTTTCCTGCTCCAGGAGAAGCAAAACCGGCCCTCCCCTCCCCTCCTCTCCTCTCTCAGGTAGAGATACGCCCTCCCCCCCGGTTGCCCAGGTAATTAGCCATCGCTTTAGAGAACTTCTCTCCACCCCTGAGGAATGATGCAAATGCTCTAAAGCCGTACTCTCTCCACCCTTGAGCGTCTGCTGATATATAGATGTGCTAAGGCCAGGTGAGACATTCTGGAAATATTACAATTTTACCCACAAAGGGGGAACGCCCAACCTTTCAGGGCATTCCTCTCTTTCTGAGGTGGCCTACAGTTTTTCTCTAAGTAACTGTAAATAAAACTTTTACTCTGCTTCGCTACTGTGTCTCTGCCCTTCAATTCTTTATCGTGGTGGGGACAAGACTGAGGAAAATACACAACACCTCTCCCCCAACACTGAGAGCTCACACTTGGGCCTGCATGTTTCCGTCACCTGCGTGATCTGGACAAAACTTCAGCTGTGTGACCTGCACCTAGTAGCCTACCTGAAAATCTCCTTTCTTTGGGAAGTTCTCAGAACATCATCTCACTCCATCGTGTGCTCTGTGGCTCCCCAAATCCTGGGGTGGTTGGGCCAGTCCCCAGGACGCCGGGGTTCTTGTTCACAGAGTTGAAGAATAAACTTTGCAAACACTAAGTAGGAGAGCAAATGAGAGGCTTTTACTTAGAGATAAAGTAAGAGGAAAAAGCTCCTGGCTTGCACCAGGAGGGGAAAAGAGAGTCCGGGGTGGTGCTGAGAGAGGAACCTTGGGTATAGTCAGAGCAGGTGAGGGCCTCCGGAAAAGGCAAAGCAGGGTATTTGCAGTCAGAGCAATGTAACTACATGCAAGGAAACCCCCTACCAAAACTCTGTCTTAAACATTAAGCTCTAAGTCTAGATCAGTTAATATTCCCCAGATAAAAGTATCTCAGCAGAGCCCATGTTTTTATTATGCTAATCGTAATCATGTGTAAGATTCACTTAGTGCGCTAAAAGGGACTTAATTCTCATCAAAGACGAACATCCTAAGACCACATCTAACAAGTCCACTCCCCTAAGCCCTTCATCAGTTCCCAAAAATCCTCAACTGCCTGTAAATCCCGTAGACAATGCACCACCCCGGGCTCTCTTGTCCCCTCCCGGCATGAGCGAGCTCCGTCCTCTCACTTTCTCTCTAAATAAAAGCCTCTCCCTGCCTCTTCTACCTTGAGTGTTTGCTAGGCTCACTCTTCGACTCTGCAAAGAAGAGCCCCGGCATCAATGTGTTGTCTAGGGGATTTATAGGCACTTGAGAGACAAACGGCCAGGGATGCAGACGTGCCAGATGGTCCCAAAATGATTATTTTTGAAGAGATACTAAGTTTCTTATCAGTGGGTTATTCTTCAAAGTTACCTTAACACAAGAAATTTACTGCTTTAATTCTTTTCTAAGGTATCAGCTTCTGTCTGGAAGCATATTATTAATCAAGACTGTCTGCCTTGCCTCCAGTGTGGGCTGAGCCACTGTTCGTTTGATTAAAACGCAATCTTAGCTTTTTAAGATAGAATTCTTCCTGAATAAGCTGGGCCTTTGAGCAGGTGCTAAAGTAAATCTTACAATGGTATGTTCTAATTGACACAGTGATAATATAGGCTATGCTGAGATACTTTTCTTTAACTGCAGAGTATTCAAACTTCTAGGTCAAGTGGTTCTTGGCTTTTTAGTTTTAACTAATCTCACTGAAGAATGTTTATGTTCCTAGTTTTATATTCTTAATTTAGAGATTTAATGTGACTTTGTCTGTGCTTAATTGTTTAACATAGAGTTTTGGTAGGGCTCTTTTTCCGGAGGCCCTCACCCTGCTCCATCTAAGCCCACGGTTCCTGTCTCACCCATGCCCTGCAGATCCAAGGGACACAGGACCCCAGGTGACCTTGGCTTCAGGAGTTGGCAAGGGAATCGGCCCCAGGCCGGGAACTTCCCCTCTTTTCCTCTGCGCTTTCCTGTTCTCTGCTGCTTGTAAGGCAGCTCGCCGCCATTCCCTGCCGCTCTCCCTCTGATGACTTCCTTCTTTCCCTGCACTCTTCTGACCTGCTCAAGAATCCTTTCTGATTCAGAGCCAAGAACCCTCCCCCGTCCGGGTTGAGGTTTCTCCTAGTGCTGCTCGCAGTGCTCCGGGAGAGACCGCCCCAGACACAGCTGCCCTGCAACACCCAGAGACACCAAATCTATCTGAGCCTGGCTGGTTTTTCCTTAAGTGTGAAAAGAGAGATTTGCTGATTCTAGAAACAACTTTATTTTTCCTTCTGGCTATGTCCCTTAATCATATTCCTCCTCAATGCAAAGCTACAAAGAATAGATGTCTCAAGGGATAATTCACAAGATGAAGGACCTCCCAGTCACCAATGGGCCGGATAAGCAGCCGCTCCCACTGGGGCAACTAATTACTAGGAATGCAAATCCTTGGTCACACTTTAATTCTAGTCCCCTCATGCTTACTCAAAAAATCACATATTATGTCACCTTTAACTGTTTTTCAGATGTGATGGGTGAGCATTACGGGTCCCCTGTAACGTTGTTGGATTCTCCCAGAGGAGGACGCCGCCCCAAATCACTCACGGAAGGCGTCTCTTGATGCAATAAGCAAGAGGAATTTATTCAGGAACCAGCTAGCTGGGGTCCAAGTTAGCCCGACGCAGTGGGTCTCAACAAGGACCCTGAGCACACAAAGCCAGAAGGTTTTATAGCATTTTCAAAGGGGGCAACATTTTCTACAATCACAATACAGTGTTTTTTCATAGACACATAAATCTTTGGCTGGGGCCACATCCTGGGGTCTGGTTAGATAAGATTACCTTCGGAATGTTTAGGGTGGTTCTGGCAAGATAAGCTTGGTGTGTATGATTAACTGATTTGAGGTCAGCTAATTAAAGGTCACTACATTTAACACTGGCTGACTAACTTGTTTTTCAAGATTCTAATAATTTTCCTCCTTCTAGGTTAGGGGGTGGTATTTAAGCCTTTAAGATGGCTGTACTTATGCTAACTTTTGATTCTTCAGATCCTACAACGTCACTCATGGCGCTGTTTCACCTTTGCGGTGGGAGAAGAACTGGTTCTAGCTGATTTTCCCTACAACCATTTCTTAGCCCGGCCTGAGGACAACAGCTGCCTGCAGGCCAGGAGCCTGGGGAAGACGGCTCATGGATGGTGAAGGTTACCTCTCAGCGTTGCCAGAGAGAAGAGCCCAACGTTCCAGCTCAGAGATGATGCCAGGAAATGAAGGGGACGCCCACGTTTCGGGTTGCCTGCTGTTGCCTCCCATCGTGTTGTCTTTGGAAGACAAGTGATAACACAGGGAAGCAGGTGGGTGTCCCAGGAGCTTCACTTACACTGTCTCCTTCTTTCCACCACAACGCCACATGGGGGGCAGTTAACTTTGCAATAGCTTTCTAAGTTTACAAAGACCTTTCCCTCCAAATCAAGGGGAGGGGCTGTAACTCCACGGAGAAGAAATCCCAGGGGCAAAAATACTTTTAAAACTGAAATCAGTCAAAGGGAGAAATGAAGTTTAAACCCGTTTATTGCTTACAAACTGCAGTCCTGGCCTTAGTCCATCTACATATCAATAGGTGTTTCCAAGGAGTGAAGAGAAGTAGCCATCTCCAAATTAAGTAGGAAATAACACGGGCCAGCGAGGGCGTATCTGGATGGGGGAGGTTGGGTGGGGTCCTTTCTTCTGCAGCCGGGTCACCAGGGACAAGGGAGAGCAGAAGTGGACGACTGCTTGTGAGCAATAAATGGGTTTCTCCCACTTTATTTCACCATTTGACTGATTTCAGTTTCAAAGGTATTTTATCCCAGGATTTTCCCCCCAGTTACAATAAATAATAAAATGTACGAATTCATACTGGTAAGAAATAAATAATCTGATGGTTTATAAATAAATTAAAACATCAAATTTCTGAATAAAATAAAATAAAAACTCATGTATTTTTACTGAGTGAAATAAAAATAATTAAGGAGTTCATACTTTGTAAACTTAGAAAAATTATCCCAGTGTTAGATGGTTGAGTTTGTTCCCCTGGGTTCTTGCCCCCCACACCCCCACCCCCACCCCTGCCACAAAGACACAGTAGGGAAGCTGAGCAAAACCTTTATTTGAATCCGCTCTCAGGGGGGAACGGGCCAGAGTCCCGGCAGACACAGGCAGGTTTACCTGAATAAAGCAAAGAGGAAGGGGAAGCTCACCGAGGGGTGCCGGGGTCCAGCTCCAGCCGAGGTGTGGGTCACGAAGGAAAGGACAGCGTCGGCCAGTGAGGAGTTGAATGAGGAGACGAAACACCCATCAAGGTTGAAACATCTCCCGACATCAAGCGGCAGGGTCTTTATTTTTATATCTTTTTAAGGTTTACATAATGTTAAACATTTTTCTTTAATCATGAATAATACAATCCTTTTCTTGTCAGTTTCTACATAATTCCAGCTTACTACCCTTAAGTAAATATCATTTCCTCTGATAGCAGCCATTTAACATTTAATTTTTAACTTCTCCCTAGTCTATTTTGATTAGTGATTTATGTGAGCCACGTGCTAGGTGCTGGACAGAAAATGGCGTGAGACAGTGGGTGGGCTATGATTTTTACGTATAAGCGTGTAAGATTGATGCCGGGGTTCTTGTTTGCGGAGCCGAAGAATGACCTTCACAAACAGTCAAGGTAGGAGAGCAAGGTACAGGCTTTTATTTAGAGATAAAGTGAAAGGACAGAGCTCCCGGCTCACGCCTGGAGGGGACAAGAGAGTCCGTCGTTGGTGTGTTGTCTAGGAGGTTTTATAGGTAGCTGAGGATTTTTCAGAGAACATGAAAAAACTTAAGGGTGGGGACTTATTAAGTGGTCCCTGAATATTAAAAATTAACTTAACTGTAAGGAATTTCCTGCCTTGATTTCTCTCTGGGACACCGGCGCCTAGGTCTGGGAGCACATCAAAAGGCTGCCTGCCCAGCTCCCAAGGTGGACCGAGGTATTGTCTACTTGCTAAAGAATCTTGCCTCTTGAACTTCCTGGGTGTTAAAATGCAATCTTATCTTTAAGATGGAATTCTTCCTGCCTTTTGCCATGCCGTCTACAGCTGGGTCTGCATGCTTAGTTGCTCAGTTTTCAAAATCACTTTGTCAGATCTGAAGGAGGAAAGACAGCACAGAGGCCGGGCCTTTTAGCATGCATGCTAAAGTGAATCTTACACATGGTTACAAATGATTAGCATAATAAAACATGACGGGCCTTTTAGCATGCATGCTAAAGTGAATCTTACACATGGTTACAAATGATTAGCATAATAAAACATGTGCTGCTCTTCTTTATCTAGGGAACATTAACTGATCTCACTGAAGAATGATTCTAGAGCTCAATGTTTAACACAGAGGTTTAGTGGGGGTGTTTCCTTGCATGTAGTTACATTGCTCTGACTGCAAATATTCCGCCCTGCCCCCTCCGGAGGCTCTCACCCTGCTCTGACTACATCCATGGTCCCTGTCTCAAGATTATATAAAGTTTAAACAGGTTATATAAAATTCAAGCTATATGTCTTTTGGTTATTGAGTGTAATGTTATATTATTTATTAGATCTTATCCTACACATGTGGGTTTAGGCTTACATCTAAAGTTTAGGGATCTAAACTATGTAAAGTTTACATCTAAACTATTACCCATAAGTTTTGATATTCTTCATCATTCCTATGAATACAATAGGAACTTTATTCTTTCATAATATTCATTCCACAGTTTCAGATGTTTACACCTTTTCTCCTACATCTACAGACACCAGGACCTTGCAGTCCACTTTAATCTTTCATATAATAACACTAAATCTGCTCTTACTACCTTACCATTAATATAGTAATATTTTGTCAAAGATTCATCATTAACTTCTATATATGGGATATTTGTGAATGTAAATCTTCCTATTTTGCTCATAAATTCTTTCCTCCAGGGGGATACCAGAGGCGTTCTCTAATATTATAAGCAGCATAAGGAGGGCCCTGGGCAGTGGGGACGATGAATCTCTTTTTATTGCTTTGCTGTTTCATATGAGTTTCTTGGGAGAATGGGTTTTTCCATAGCCCATAACTCCTTCCCATAACTCCTTCTTTGCCAATATTCTAAAGAAATCCTGGTTAGTCATGTTTAAATTGTTACAAAAGGGAAGACAAAGTGCATCTAGTTTTAAGAGAGGCCTGGGTTGCTCTGCCTCCCTTATTTGGGGCAGTAATGCCTGGAACAGTTGGTCCCGTAACACTGCTTTCGTTTCCAGAGTTGCTGTTTTGATCAAAATTTTGGGTTATGTTATTTACTAAAGATGAATCAATCTTAGATACATAAGATTTCCCATATATGAGCCCAATCACCAACATCATAACTGCAAAAATAAGCGCGGGCATTAGCAGGGGCCACTGTGGGGTGTCCTGGCTTTCAGGATTCCTCCCCGTGCCTGGACCTTGTCAACAGCACGAGCAGCATGGCCCGCGCCGGAGGGGAATTTGCCAGCTCAAATCAGAGCTCCCAGTGGCACCTCCCTACTTACGTGAAGACTTGTGCTTAAAGCCTGAAAAACAGAATGAAATAGCTAAGTGATGAAGAGCGCGGAGACAAAATGTAGTGAGTTGAAAGTTGAACAATAAGAAGTCTTTTAAAAATACACACTCCAAGAAAGGGCAGTGTGGGCCATCTCAGGAGGTGTGCTTAAAAGCTGGGATTCTGCCTTTTAAGGCTTTAAAGAATGGGATAAAGGTAAAGGGTGAGTGGGGCGAAGGCCTGTCATGCATTCTCATGATGTCTATTTCTGGGAGAGTCACTATGTCATTATCCATAGTCAGTTCTGCAGATAATTCTGTAGGATAAACTTCTGTTCTTCTCCACGTTAGTGGCTACCCTCAAGCACTGGGAAATTACCAGTTAAGACTGCTCACCCTGCCTCAAGATAGGTTGTTCGCTGATTACTAAAGAACATGCCAGGAATCTAACTTCCCAATTCTCTTTTAAAATGGAATCTTAGCCTTAAGAGAAGTCCATCCTGTTCTTATTATGCTATTCATATCTTGGCTTTTTTTTTTTTTTTTTTTAGGAAAATTAAGCATGATGCTTATTCCATGTCTCTGCCCTATTTCACCCTCATTAACTAGAGCAAGTCTCAAGGTCAGGCCAGATTCAGAGCATGTGGAATGAACTCACATTACAAAGGGCATTAACTCAGTGAATCCTCTCTGGCTCTCTGACTTTGTCTGATTGACTCCCTGAGTTCTTGGTGGGCCCCATTTTCTTTTCATCCCACTCATATCTGTCTTTCTGCCTGACAGTAATAAACAACCTATTGGATACCACCTGAAGTGATCAAAGTTAACAAAGTCAGTGTCACCAAAAAGTGGGGCAAACTGATACTGTTTATATAGAAAATGTCAAGTGTTACAAAGAATTCAACTACATTTTAAAGATCTTATTGGCTTTATTCAATGGTATGTGAATTGAGCAACATCCATCTAGCAGATAGAAAGGAGCTGTGAGGAGCTGTGCAACATGGAAGAATTTTATAGGCAGAGAGGGGAAAGAGTGGTTGTTTCAGGCAAGTTCACCTTCCTTTAGTGGACCCCGGGGCCTATCAGACAAATTACCTCACTAGTGCTGACCAGGTAATTCCAAGCTGACTAAATAAGATTCCATTTCTGGGGGAGGCTGAAATTGCAATTAGGTAAGGTATGAAGTCTCCATTTAGTGATATGGGCTTAGCACAAGTGACTCCATTTTGAGTCTTTGTAAGTCCGGGGAAAGGAAATCCCTGAGCAAAATACCTCTAAAAACCGAAATCAAAGGGAGAAATAAAGTTTAAAATCTGTTCATTGCTTACAAACTGCAGTCCAAGGCCATCTCTCTCTCCTGCCCCGGCAGAAGCAAAACCACCCCTCCCCTCACCTCTCAGGCACAGATAGGCCCTCTGTTGCCCAGGTAATTACGCATTGATATGGAGATGAGCTCTCCACCCCTGAGGAATGATGCAAATGCACTAAAGCCATACTTCTCTTCACCCTTGAGCACCTGTTTATATGCATATGTACTAAAGCCAGGCGATATATTCTGGAAATATTACAATTTTACCCACAGCCTATTGTTTCATTTTTAACCCAAGAAATTCAAAAATATTTGCTAGAACTAGTAAGTGAATTTAGGGTGGTCAAAGGATACACTGTCAGAATATAAATATCAATTGTATTTCCATAAACAATAATGAACAATTGAAAATTGTTTTAAGAATAGTATTTATAAAGGCCTCAAAATTGTGATTTGGATTTTAGGAAAGTCATTCAGCTACTGTAG